AATGTAGGACAGTCTGACATTTCCTCCTGGGAAATGCAGGACTCACCCCAGAAAAGAAGGCATCTTGTCACAAAACACACCATTTCCAGTACATGTATGGGTTCTTTTCACTTGTGTATGAAAGTTAAAAACATCTTTTTTCGCTTTTAGCTTAATTCCATTATTACTGTAATTACGTGTGAAAAGCTTTTGCGTAATTAAGCTCTATTTTCACTTTCTTTTCGGGATGCTTCATTTCCACTTTATTCTTTATTATCTCTTTAACAACGAAACTGGCCCACGTGTGATAACGTCCTTAAACTCTATCTGAATTTGTGGTTTTAGTCTGTTGTGTTCTATAAACTTTGCTTAAATGTAACCTTGATTCATCATTTGAACTCTTTCTACAGTTAGCCATCCTGAGAGTATTTGTCCTAAAGGGTAAGATGTTGTTTTATAAAGAATGGATGGATGGATATTTGTCACTATCTTTTATGGATGGGTCTGGTAGAAGTTTCACTCTGAGAAGATGCATTTTAAAGACAACAGCATGCCTGTCTCTTATTCTGTTTTCATATGATGAGCTCTGAAATAGCTGTTTAAAGGTAATTTTATTTAATTGCAACTTTTTATGGCTCTTCTATATTTAACTGCGGTTGTTGCAGTAATAACTTTGGCAATTTATTTTAAGACAGTAACCTTGGCTTCCTTATTATGATAGCATTGGCAGGAGCTATTGTCAACTCAGAGCAAACAAAGGCTTCATGATGCTGCTAAAGTTCACCCATCCATTCTTTTACTGGTGTTCATTCCTGCTCATGCCCCCTCCCAGTCCTTGCAGGGAGAAGGGGAAATATCCTCTGTGCCTCTCTTGTCCATTTATCTAAAGCCATTCAATCTAAAGAGTTCTCCAATACCACAGATGTCCATCAAACAGGAGATTATGGTAGAACCTTGTCAAGCTAGGTCAACGTGTTCACAGTGGAGTTTCAGCATTCCAGATACATCCATTGAGTTTGCTGGTAAACAAGTTTATCTCAAACCCAAAATGAGGCATACGCTTCTTCGCTTTGGGAGAGATGCAGGTCCCTGGAAGTATTACCAGGGATTTACAATGGCATTTACATTCAGGGACGTTATCCTCTGAGGCAAAACTGAAGAACCTT